TCCGCAAACCCTCACGGAGAGATCTCTAGAAGGGGTAGCAGAATATATCAACGATGGACGACCCAAACGAATCGTCGTGATGACAGGAGCAGGCATCAGTACCTCAGCTGGAATTCCTGACTTTCGATCACCTGATACAGGATTATACGCCAACCTTGCACGACTAGATCTCCCGTATGCAGAAGCTGTATTCGATATTTCGTATTTCAGACAGAATCCAGATCCGTTCTACGTGTTGGCGAAAGAACTTTATCCTGGGAAGTTCTATCCTACGATCGCACACGCTTTCATCGCGTTACTGGATGAGAAGTACATGCTTCAGATGCTATTCACTCAAAACATCGATTGTCTAGAACGCCGGGCTGGTGTACCAGGAGAGAAGATCGTGGAAGCACATGGAAGTTTCGCGACGCAGAGGTGTATTGAGTGTAAGACAGAGTACCCGGATGACCTGATGAAGAAAGCTGTGGAGAGTGGGAATGTACCTCATTGCATTGTTCCACAGTGTAATGGGCTCGTCAAGCCAGATATCGTGTTCTTTGGAGAGCAGCTTCCGGAGGCTTTTCATAAGAATAGACATGTGCCTGCGATGGCTGATCTAGTGATCGTCATGGGGACGAGTTTGACGGTGCAGCCGTTCGCAAGCTTGCCTGGGTTTGCGCGGGAAGGGGTTCCACGAGTACTGATCAACAAGGAACCTGTTGGAGATCTTGGCTGTCGGCTGGATGATGTCTTAGTTCTTGGGGATTGTGATGATGGTGTACGGAAGCTTGCTGATGCGTTGGGGTGGAGAGACGAGTTGGAGCAGTTGTGGCTGGAGGTTGGTGGGAAGGTCAAGGATAAGGAGGCTGCGAGGTTGAAGGAGCAGAGGCAAGCTATGTCGAAGGATGAGGCTCTGGAAGCGGAGATTGAGAAGCTGACAGGAGAAGTGGACGCGACTTTAAAGTTGTCGAAGGAGCATACGGAGAGAGTGAATAGCAAGCTGGGCGAGCCAAGCGAGAAAGGATCTTCGACACTTGGAGAGAAGACTGCCGATGGACCATCATCCACCACTTCTACATCTGCCTCGGAGCTGCCGACAAGAAGCGAGGCGGGGTGGATCGAGCCTCCGTCCACGCCGGCCGTCAACGAGAACACACCAATAAACACGGAGAAAGTTGGGAATGAAACTCCGGCGAGAGCACCTGCTGTTAACTCAAAGGCAATCCTCGATGTCACAATGCCACAAAACAGGCCAGACGCATCACCCCCGGGTCCACCTGGGCAAGGCGAGAAGCCGCCTTCTCGAATCTAATAATTTCAAAGGGGCGTTGGCCAACAGTGGAAATATTAGTGGAATTGAAGGATAATAATTGCAGGGTACACTATGTAAGACTTGAAGAGTGTTGCATTTCAGGGAGGATGATTTCGAAAGCGTCCAATCTACCCCGACATGAACAGATGGAGTCGCGAATCAGGATTGCTCATGCAAGTTGCATGGAACTTTGTAGCATATGCCTCTGAATAGCGAGATAGCCATTTGGTCATGAGAAAGAGTAAAACCACATGCATTTCCACAACTTTCTTGAAGGGGGCAGAGCGGTTGTGATTGTTGGTTGCAAAGAAGCAGGGTATTGTCTCGCACGTTTCGTTCAGAATTGGTCCCATGTATGATCCTGTAAAATCTCGGACCCTCTTGGAATATTGGCGCATCTGATTTGGAGTTCCTTATTTGGAGTTTTCTGGGACCAGGCAGCCCCCAGATGGTATCCTCGAGTCTTGAAAGGTCAGTTTAATTAGCGCCCAAAGAGGGGTATTGTGGCCGCAAGGGCGGTACAGTGCGTTTGTCATGTATGACAAGATGACAAGACCACCATCTCCAATTAATGTAGCCTCAAGAATACATTCCATGCAGGTGACGCCACTGAACCGGTCTACCGCCTACCAGCTCTGACAATCGGAAATGGTGGCTTGATGGAGGTTAGCCAACACGTTCAGCGATTAAACCCCCACAGACCAGCTAAATTCCTAATCCGAGTCAACCTTCAAATCCTTAGAGCATTACTAATAATATCAAGTGTAACAAGCTCAGGTATCGAATTAAAGTTGTCTCAAGCATCAAGGTCTTATATGCATGTCGAATAGGAAGTGAAGGAGTCTCCCCTCATTACCTCCAAAGGGGGTTGCACCACGGCCTGGCAGCAGCTCTTAGATTACAAGGCAGATAGGATTCCTGATCATTTTACTAGGTATAATATCTAACTGGCTACAACCACATTGGTGTCAAGTTTATATTCGTGCAGAATTCGAGAAGTCTTGGTCCATTCGACTTTTTGGCAGCCACAGTCACCTCTGGCACCAGCAGCCTAACTTGACGCCCAGGTGCACACACTACAGTATCACTACAGCGTACCTGATGTGTCTAGAGTGCCATTATACCTCACTGTTAGATAGCTTCCTCGAGTTTTATACCCAATGTCCTCACCGGTCTCCCTTTCGTCCCGCCCCAGTCCCATGAAAGCCAATGGAGTTCAAAGTTTCCGTTTCAGAGTCTCACACTACCTGTATCACACCGTATTCAACGTATATATCTGCAAGATACTTTCGTGAGTCGAAATATACCGTCGACGCTGCCCTCACATGATCCTCCCCCTTCTCCCCTATAAGATCGGTCCCCCCATGAATTTCCTCCATCTTCCCTTCAAATCTTCCCAAACTCTCAAGTTCTCGTGTTCCTCACAGCCTTACCAGCTCGCTTAACCATCAAATCCCGTTGCATCACAATTTTCGCGCCCACAATGCCAGATACCACGACAATTCTTGGTGTTGAAACTTTTGATGAGGCACCCCAAGAAATAACCGAGCATCCGCGCGATACGAGTGGGTGCACCTTCCATTCCCTCGCTTGAAAGTTTTTTGACACCGAAAAATGCGCTTCGGGATACTAACAATTACGCAGGTTATGGGAATTAATTTGAGTCCAAACTTGAAGTGGTCGATGTTGTTGGCGTTGGAGGACATTTTTGTAAGTTGGTGGTTGAGGTTGAGCGGCGAAGTGAGGGTGTGGCTGCTATGTGCACGGACCACCTGAAGACCCCACGCTGGAACTTCGAGCATTTGGAGCCTCACTGACTTTCTCCCAGCACTTCAACAACTTCATTTCGAACATCACTCAATAATAGGCCTCATTACTGGACATGATCGGATACCATTTTCCCTTGATCACACGTGTTTTGGAATTTTGTAGAGGGGACTTGCTCTTGCTGAGTCGTTTCATTCTTTGGAATTGCGATGGATTAGCTACAGGGTGAATGGGCGAAGAACCGGGGATAGATTGCGAAGGAAGTTGGCAATCGTTTTGAAATCTCAAACCAAGTCACTCGTTGATCATTAGATAGTTGGGTTTCAAAATAAACACTGTTGAAGTTGGCTCTTCACTTCGTGGCTTACCTCCGCACGTTATGCTCTTGATTTTCAGCGATTGAAGGCCCGGAAATTTAGCGATGGATGCCCTGAATAGCACCAACGCTCACTAAATTATGCCAAATTAGAGCCCGACGACCTCAAAAGGAGCCGGATATCGGAATAACAGATCTTCCGAATCGAAACTTGTTTCCTTGGTATCTCGACCCATTAATCCATTCATTCAAACCATCCACCTCCAACACGTGCATATACGATTCTCACCTCAAGACAACCTCATTACAACTACAATGGTGCTGAGCGCTCCTCCTCCCAGCATCCTACAATGCGACTAAGCACCACCCGCCTCGCCCGCCGCCTGCGATCCTCTTTTCTACTCCCCTTCACCACCATCCAGAACCTGTCCCAAAGTTCCTCTATCCCTCACAAACACATCAAAATCGACGACGAAGAGCGCCTCCTCTCTCCCGACCAGCAAATCCGCCCTCGATCCCCCCTCGCTCACATGATCAAAATGCTCCTCCTCATTCTCCTCGCCCTCCTCCTTATGCTCCTATTGTTGATCTACACAATCTACAAACCACCAACCTGGCTCGTTTCCCTCATGTCTTGGAAAAACCCAGACGTACTTTTCCACGTCCCATTATCAAGCTCGAATCACGTGGTCGCTCTTACAATCGACGATGCGCCTTCTTCCGAAACGGGCAAGATACTTGATGTTCTGAAGAAATACAACGCAAAAGCAACATTTTTCATCATTGGCTCCCAAGCCAGCGGTTATGAGGCTGTTTTGAAACGGATGCACGATGAAGGGCATGAGATGGGGAATCATGCTTGGAGAGATGAACCGAGTGTTAGACTGAGGAGTGAGGTATTGAAGCAGCAGATGATGGATGTGGAGAAGATGTTGATTCCAAATGAGAGTGGGACTAAGTGGTTTCGGCCTGGGTCCGGGTATTTCAACAAAAAGATGGTAGATGTGGTGAAAGAGATGGGGTATAGGACTGTGCTTGGGGATATATTTCCGTTCGATCCTGTGATTCCGAGGCCGAAAATCAATGCGGCGCACATTCTTAGCATGTTGAAACCTGGGGGTATCATCATTGTACATGATAGGAGGAGCTACTCGGCTGAGCAGTTGGAGATTACGTTGAAAGGGATGAAAGAGCGGGGTTGGAAGGCCGAATCGTTGGGTGGAGTACTCAAGATCGCAGAGGAGGAGAAGAAGGAAAAGGCTCGGTGAATTGTTCGGATACTCTATGGAAGACTTTTAGTTTGCTTCGCAGGTCCTTTCTGTGTTGTGTCTGCCTCCTTTGGTACCAGGCTGTCCTGCTCTTAACTTACCTACCACGAACCAGGTCATTGTTCGTCGCAGTGAGAGGACACAGATGTACTCAAAATCTCCCAGCAAGGACGGGACATTCGCTGTACTCCCCCTTTTCCTTCTGATCTCAAAGAGACTCCTCTTTGTTTTCTCATATGACGCTAGCCATCGCTTCCGGCTCTCCTCTATCTGTGCCAGCAAAAACATTTCGATCTCTCATTTCCTTAATCTACAAGAACAAAACTTGACCCACAAAAAAGTCCAAAGAGTAAATCGGTCAGATCAGGACTCGAACCTGAAACCAAATCCATGCCCATCCTCTTTCTAGCACACCCGCTAAGGTCCAGGACTCCCAAGCTGGACCTATTGATTTTCACCTGGGAGCCCGCTAGCATAGAGGTTAAGGAGGATCTGCGCTAGCCAATTGCGCCATCTAACCTTTGTTGTTTTGATGCGGAGGTTGTGCGTATCTAAAATGATACGGGTGTAAAGAGAGGTGAGAGGAGAGGTGTCGGGGAAGAACTGGTGGGAGCCGATGATGTACCGGTTATTGAGGGAAGGGGTTGGGGCGAGATTGGGATGGAGAGCTGAGGGTTTGAAGTTGAGGCTGTAGAGAGATGGACAGAAGACAGGTATGAATGTCCCAAGACAGCACACTAGTATTATAGTATAATTCATTTCGAATAGAAAATGTTCAGAAGGACGAGAGACGTTGATGTGAACTTCTGTCATGGTAGAGAGAGAATTATGTATCTGAACATCATGCTGGCTGCAAACACCCGACGCTATGCTATGCAACAATGAATGCAATAAGCATCTACTCCTTCCAAATGCGTCGCTTTTTTAAATCAAACAACGAAATTCCACGCACCGGCTTGCTCGCTCAGTCGGCTGATCCCCATGACTTCACCAAACCTCAATGCCGCTTGCAACTTGAAGATCCCAAAAACCCCAAACTCCAGGCTTCGAAGAGTCAATCAATCTTAACCCCTGCCAACAAAGAAGAGCCACAAACCGCAAGCCTCATCGACCCTCTTCCCCCAAGCGTCTCTCAGTTCCCCCTGAATCCGTCATACCCAGCTGCCACCCTCTGCCCAACCCTCCTATGTCTCTCTTTCTCTTCCTCCCATAACCTCAAACCACCCGCTTTTCCTAATGGATCTCCTCGGAATTCAGCTGATATGGGAGAACTCTTCGCCTTCCCCAACGGATTAACTCTATATCCCAATTTCGAGGAATCGCCATAACCTTCCTCCTCATTGTAATCGAGATCAAATTTCCTCAAAGCTTCGTGTTTACCGGATTTCTGTTTCGAGCCATGGAGTAGTGTCGGTGTTGAAGGTTGCGGATTTGGACTTGAAGATGGAGGTTCGAAGGAAGAATCGAGATCCACGCTCCCTCCCTGAACATTACTCCCCCACCTAACATGTCCCTTCTTTTTCCCTTGCCCCCTCTTAAACTCCCCTTCCCACCCACCCCCACATTCCCCTCCTCCATCTCAGTCTCCAGATCCCTCAACTTCAACCCAACGTCGTCTTGTTCCTGCTCCCGTATCGCTTGTAACAGCCTTCTCCGTCTGTATTGTTTCCGCATGTACCATCCTAGCAAACAGAGCGAAATGATTGTAACAACGAGGACGAAAGCGTCGATTATTATGGCTACGCGGTAGGAGACTGGGAGCCCGTTTGTTGCGAAGTTCCAGACTTTGGCGGAGGTTGAGGGTGGAGGACCCGGGGGTGGGGGAGGAGGTGGGGGAGAATCGGGCATTTCCATTCGTGTTTTTAGGGATTGTAGGGAGGAACTATGGAGGGGTTCGGTCAGTTTTGGTGTTTGGGGAGGGAAGAGGGGCAAGGAAGGGAGGGCTTCGTACGAAGGGATCGCGGAGGTAATTGAGAAGAGTGTAGTGAGCGCCATTGCAGAGTTAAATGGCACGGCTCGAACCATTTTTGCGGTCTTAACTATTGATTGTCGTTCAATTGAAGGTTCTCGAAACAACAGCTGGCGAAAGCTCAAGCAAGGGAGGATCAGGAAATGAATGTTCGATCAACTCAATTCACGAAAACAAAGAACAGAAAATCTCTCTCGCACAACGCAAATAAAGGAGTGGAATCGGATAGAATATATCCTCGGACCATCAAAAGACGATAACAAATCAAATAAAGAACACGATAGACGTTGAATGAAGCATAAATCAATCACTCCATCAACGGATTTAAGAAAAAAAAGGACCCCTTGACAGGAACGGGAACTTGAAGCTAGTCTCCGCCGTACTCCGGAAGGCCGGTACGAGCTACGCCGAAAAGGGGAAGCAGAATGTATTGAAAGGCGTCGGAGGCTCGGATTTCGGGGTTGGTGATTGGGTGGATAGAGAGATGTTTGATGAGCTTATTTGGTTTTGTGGAATTTGGATCAGGGGTAAAGAGAGTTTTATGCATGATGTGCATACGGAATGTGGATTATGCAGGAACGTTGGACCCCGCCAAGAGGGTCGTATTTTGTTCGTATTCTTACTTGGCGGATTTGTCAGGAATTGATAGTTCCAACAAGTATTTAGGTGTCGAATTTCCCATCGAGAGAAAAATTATGCTTCGGTCGTCCGAAAGGCTAAAAGTTACTCCGTCTTTACCGCGTCCGCTCGGAGGTCGGATTGCTAGCCCCAGCCGCTGTCAGCGAGCGAAGTTGCTTTGAAGAATGCACCAAGCCAGAAAAGGTTAGCAGGCCACGGTTAGATCGTGCTTCTTGGAAACTCGCGTTTATCAACCCACCACCTACCTCACTTTACGTGATGGACAATATTTATTTCAACCCCAAACCTCAACGTCAATGACTTCCTTTCTGCTATATATCTGTTCGCGTTTCGCTTTACCTTGACTTTTGTACTTCCTCACACATAAAGTTATGGATTTCATCGCATCCTTCACCCCTCGCTTCCTGAGCGTCGTCCTTTCCCTGCATTGTACCTTCCAACAGCCTTCTTCCTGGCTCTGTTACCATTCGTGCTCCCAAATCGACGACTGGGAGTACTGTTCGCATTTCTAATCCTCCTTCTGCTAGTCTTCGAGCACCATTCTACGCATTCGGCAGCCTGTCGAACGATTACTCCAACAGCGGCACCTTTATGGTAATGCCGCTTTAGCATCTGGATTTCGTTGTTCTTACTCCTAGAGCAGGAGATGATGCGCCTGTTTTCATGGATGCCTTTGATGAGAGCAAAATCAAGGCGCAGAGTTGGGGAGGTTGGGTGATGCGTGGAGTGTGAGGCAGATGTGGAGTGTTGTTTATCATCAGAATATGCGTCGTGTAAGTTTCCTCCCAGTCCTTGTCCCAACATCAGCACGTTAGAGCCTTAGAGGACTGATGAGAGTGTAGATGCTAAGCCAACCGTCCCTCCGAATCGCGAAATTCCTCGGCTTGAGAAAAGGCACCCTAGTGTCGAAGTACTCGCAGTTATACATCTCGTTTGGGATCAGCTGTCTCTTCCACCAGGTTCAGATGTTTAATGTTACTCGTCACGATACGGGAGAGTTTGCTTTCTTCATGAGTCAGGCAGTGGCCATTACTTTTGAGGATTTTGCGATGTGGACTTGGCGGAGATGGCGGGGTACGAGTGTGAGGAAGGGATGGGAAAAGAAAGTGGGGTACGTCTGGGTGTTTGCTTGGTTCTCGTACCCCCTGTAACTCTATATCAAGGGATTGAGGGATAATGACATCATGTATGATCTGTTCTTTGGGTTGAAGCCATTGGCTGTGGGGTATGAGATTGGGAAGGTGGTGTTGATTTCCTTGGGAAAGTGAGAATCGGAGCTTCTACCACCCGTTAGAGAGAAACTTTGCATCCGCATCACTTCACGGCCATTACACGCGTCATGGTCGGAATAGATTGGATATACGGCATTTCACATACATCAATAATCACGGCTGAAACCATTGCATCTCGTTCGTCTCTCCTCCCTATCTCGATTGAGTCGTTGGAAGCTCAAAGATGCGCGACTCCTAATATCACCTCTGAAGCAGCCTAACGCCATTTCTCGTCCATCCATTGTCGTCCCCCCTGCCAATGTTCGACTCAGGCACCTTACTTGTGAGCTGTATCTTCGTATGTCTTTGTACACATCTCCTTTGCTAAGATCACCCCTGTCGACGGGAGACGAAAGTACTCTCGGGGGGCCCTAAATAACTATCCCTTACTCCACCTAGATTCAAAACTAATTTTTCAACAAGAAGGTTTTGTTGCCAAATACGGAGTTTGATGATATGACTGCCTTTCTTAAGTCTGGTCATCTCCCCGATGTCAATGTTCTTCTTCCATACACCATCCTGAACTGCTAAAAGCCAACCAGGTGGGAGGTCGCCTGTTATCCCGGGATCCTCGATCAATCTAAGAGATCCAGAAGAGCAATCGTCGATCATGATCTCGAAACAGAGTGGGTCTTTTGGGCTAGTATCAAGTGTCATGGTGAAATATATCGTAAGTATTGCTTGCCGTGGATATTCAGAGAATGTCCAGAAGTCATATTCCAAGAACTCGCTGTTGGTGGCAGACATTGGATGTACTGATTGTGAAAGTGTCACCACTCCAGATCTAGTACGACCAAGGAAGGGCAAAATCTGATAATTAGACGCATGGAGCTCATTCCTTGCTGGCCTGCAGAAACTGGATGCTTCTATAGTCACGGAGCCATCGCTCTCCATGAACCCTGAGAAGCTATCATCAGGCGGATTCCGATTGGTGATAGGCAGATGAACATGTTCATAGTCTCCAACTGTGGACGACACTTCGATCTGCACGGTCTGCTGAAAATCGAATGGGACCTCCAACCAATTGATCTTTACCGTAATTCGGGAATCATTGTTTTTGTCATCCAAGATGCCGGTGCTTGGTGATACAATCAACCAGTCATATGGCGTTTTGAGATGCCATGTCAGAGAAGAAGTGCCGCGCCTGTAGACCTCAAAGTAACGACTCTGTTGACCAAACGGTTCCAGAGTTGGAAGTGTGAGACCTGGTACCAAGTCCTTTCGTGACGGGTGCGTCCTGTCTGACTCCTCGTTCGTCAAACCAGGTCGAATGCCTTCAGTCCCTTCAACAGCAACACCCATATACCCACTGATGGGATTTGAGTCTTGTCTTGTCTGGACAAAGCAAAGGCCGCTGATCCTGTTTGTCAAGATCTCGGAGTCAGCTAGCTTCTTTTGTCTGTCTCGAGAGCAGATATGCATGTCTTAGGAGTGCATCTGGAGCACAGCTAGAGTGCATTTGGAGCAACGCACTCCTAAGACAACCGAAAGAGGGACTAATTCTCCTAGAAATTGACGCTTACATATCCCGGGATGGAGCATGCCATGTTTCTCTATATCCATAGTGTGGTTGACGCATCATATGGTTCCACTTTCCGCCAAGTAGATGATGGAACTCTTCGCTGAGATCGAAATCTTCGT